TAAAAATAAAAAATATTTGTTAGTAAAATTAAAAACTTTTATATATAAGAAAAATCATGTATTTTACTAATTATAATAAGTAAAAAATTTAAGCGTTACATTATTTTTGATGGCTACTGTATTTAAATATTAATCTTTTATTAAAATTTTTTAATTATTTTAAATAAGTAATTTTAATATAAAATAAGTTTTAAAATATTTAAATATTTTTTTATTAAATTTATTAAAATTAAATATTTTAACATAATAAATTTATAAAATAAATTTAAATATTAATTTTTTAAATTTATATAAATTTTTTTAAGATTAAATATTTTAAATTAAGAAAATTTAATTAATAATTTATAAAATTAAATCTTATATAATTAATTAAAAATTATTTTTTTATTTATTAAAATTATTTATTATTAATTATATAATATTTTTTATTTAATTTTTTAAAGTTATTATATAATAATAATTAATTAATAAAATATATATTTTTCTTTATATATAAAAATTTTTAATTTTATTAATAAATATTTTTTATTTTAGCTTAAAAAATAATTTAAAATTTAATATATATTTTTTTAGATTTTTCAAATTTTTTATTAATAACTTATATCTATAATAATAATCAAAAGTAATATAATACTTAAATTTTTTACTAGTAAAATATATATTAAATTAAAAATTTTAACTATATTTTAAACTAAAAATAAAAAATATTTATTAATAAAATTAAAAACTTTTATATATAGTAAAAATAAATATTTTATTAATTATAATTAATAAAAATTCAAGTATTATATTTTTTATAATTACTATTATATATTTTTTAATATTTAAAAATAAAAAAATAATTTAATATAAATTTAAATTTATATTATATAATTTTTAAAATTTTATTTTTTTAAATTTTTACAAAAAATTATTTAAAAAAATTTTATTAAGTTATTTATATATTATTTTTAAATAAATTTATTTATTAAATTTTTAATAAATTTTTATTATATAAAAAGAAAAATATAATTAAAATTATTTTTTATATAATATTTTTAATATATAATTATATAATAAAATTTTCTAATCATTTTTTAAAATTTATTTTTTAATATAAAAAAGTATTTTAAAAAATAATACTAATATTATTTAATAAATTTTTTTAAACAATTTTTTTTAATTAATATTAATAATAATATTTTATATTTTTTAAATAATTTTTTATTAAATTATAAAAAATTAATTTTATCTTAAATATAAATTATTTTAAATCTTAATAAATTAAGTTATAAATAATTTTAAATAAATTTATTTGTAATATTTTAAAAAATTAAATTATTTTTTGTTACAAAACAATCAAAATAATATAATATTTGAATTTTTTTACTAATTATAACTAAATAATTATATATTTTTATTATATAAATATTTTTAATTTTTTCTATAATAATTATTTTAATTACATATAAAATTAATTAATTTTAACTAATTAATAACTAATTAATTAGAAAAATTCTCAAAAAAAAATAACTTCATTTTGAGCTAAAATAAAAAATATTTATTAATGAAATTAAAAACTTTATATAAATAAAATGTATATTTTACTAATTATAATTAATAAAAAATTCAAGCATTGTATTATTTTTGATTATTATATATAAGTTAATACAATTTGTATAATATAAAATGCTTTAGCAAATTTTATTGGATTATTGGATAATATTTTTTACTCTTATTTAGGAAGAAAAATTTAAGTTAAATTATTTATTTTTTAAATATCATTTTTTTATAAAATTATTGGTAATCTAATTTTTTAATATAAAATGCGAAAATCAATAATAATAATAAAAATAATAATGAATGAGTATTTATATTATCTGTAAGTAAAACGTAAAAAAATTCAAAAACAAACGCTTATTTTGAAAAAAGGATATATCTCAAAATTTAGTCTATTGTAAGCCATCAATTTTAAGCAACACATACGTTTTTAGTGATTTCTAATTTAACACCATTATTAAAAAATTATAATAATCTTACCATTTGGCTAAAAATGATCATTTTCCCGGTGCTAACTATTGATGCAATATAATCCTGTCTCTAACCCGAACCATAACATAGACGAAATTTCGACATGGCTTGCGCTCATCACGTGAACGGAAAATTTCAGTTTCGTAAGCAACCCCAGTATATATCAACTTTGTGAAGAATAATTATTGTGCCACGTGTTACCACTGTTGGAAAGATTTTTTTTTAAAGCTTTTTCATAAGATTATACTTTTCATCTTTCTTGTATCTTACTGTTCAATTTTTACCGTGAGTACGTTATTGAATTATATAAATTTTAATTTTATCGTGGTGTTATCAATAATGTTATATGAAATAATTATTTATAAAGTGTTTCTCTTTCAATCATGTTTATGCGACCTTCGGGTTATATCTTGCGAAACGGTGTTTTCTGTTTTTGCACAAAAGCCGCAACAAATAAAATTATGTCCAATCCTAGAACCTATTTTGATGTTGCTGCTGATGGTGAGCCACTTGGTGTAAGTCTTGATTCTTTTCTAGAAAAAGTGGAACTGCAAATCAATTTGTCTAATATTTAATGTATCTTTTAAAAGCGCATTATTTTCGAATTGAATGCTGATATAGTTCCTAAAACTGGTGAAATTTCTGGTTTTCTTAGTTTTCTATAATAATTATCATATGGTCAATATATGTTAAACGAAACATCTGTTAATCTTTTAATATAAGCTGAAAATTTCCGAGCTTTGTGTACAGGCGAAAAAGGATCTAACTTAACCTATAAAGGGTCCACCTTCCACCGTGTGATTCCTCAATTTATGCTTCAGGGTGGTGATTTTACAAACGGTAACGGTACAGGTGGTAAATCAATTTATGGTGAAAAATTTGCCGATGAAAACTTCACCTTGAAGCATACTGGCCCCGGAATTCTTTCGATGGCTAACGCAGGTCCAAATACTAATGGCTCGCAATTCTTTATCTGTACCGTAAAGACCGCTTGGTTGGATAACAAGCATGTTGTATTTGGAAAGGTCATTGAAGGTAAAAAACAATTTCAGGTTTCAGTTTCTTTATTATTTATTCTTTAATAATAATATTATTTATTCATCAGGAATGGATGTTGTCCGCAAAATTGAGAAATTAGGTTCTTCCACTGGAAGAACCACAAAGACCGTTACTGTTGTTAATTGTGGTCAACTCTAAGAAATTCTCCTGTATAATATTTATAGTCTGATCTAATGAAATTATTAGCGATGGCACATACGGACCTGAAATAAACTAGTTGGGTTCTGTTATAAAACGAATATTAGATTCTCTAATTAATGTGGGCTGGTTCCTAGATTTAGTTTCAGAATCGCGAGTGTATATGCGATTCTACAGTGAAATTTATTATAGTGAAATTGTTTATAGCATCTATAAATATCTATCCATTTTTAGCATTCTAATTTTAATTGAGCAAATTGTTCAGCAACTTTCAAAGCCTCGTCAATTTTTTCAACATTTATTCCGCTACCTTGTGCGGATTCATCTTTTCCTCCCGACTAATAATGAATAATGCAAGCTCATTAATACAAAACATATGGAGGAGCGCGCACATATTAAAATTTACCTTTCCCCCAATTTTTTCTGATACCGCTTTTGCCCAATCACCAGCTTTTAATCCACGTGCAATAAGAGGTTTGCCAACCACACAACTATGTGATACACGATTAGATATGTCATCGATAGCAAATAGATACGCGGCTTTGTCAGGATGATTTTGCTTAGCTTGTGTTATCGCAGCAGCGATGGCCTTTTTATGTTAATTCATAAAAAAATCAGATTAATTTTCAAAAGATTTATTTTACAATCATTCTTACTTTTGCATTTGATCCTATGTTTAATTGCTTAATTATAAAATTAACGTTGGGATTCTCTGAGAAGTATGTATTAATAGAGTCAACCACCTAAAAGATAATATTACTAATGTTAAGCCCAAATTTGCAACAAAAAAAAGCGAAATTTTTTTATATTTAACTGACTTCTTTGGTTTGAGCGGCTTTTAATGCTTTATCCGCATCAGCAAATTTTTTCCTAAGCACATTCAATGTGTCACGAAATTCCGCTTTTCGTACGGCGGATATACTCGATGCGTCGAGCTCTTTACTGACTTCTTTAATGGCATCATCTAGTTCTAGACCTTCTAATCTTTGGAGGTGCTGAAATTTTAGCTCGAATTCTTGTGCTTGTCGATGCGCCTTTTAATAATTAATAGGGGGAGAGAGTATTGTTATAATTCTGTATTATACATTTATTGCAATGTCTGGTTTACCTGTTGGGCTTCTTCGCCTGTCACTGCAACTATTCGACGAATTCCTTTAGCGATTCCAGATTCTTCTAGAATAACAAATGTCTTTATATCGCCCGTTTTGGCAACATGACTTTAGTAAAAAAATATAAGCAAGTTGGTTAAAATGGCAAAAAAAAAATCCAAAATATATAACCTAAAAACTTACGTGCCACCACAAAATTCTATAGACGTTGCGCCCCATTTAGGATTAGACACATCCTTCACTATTTCTTCCACATCAAATCCAACTGAAACAACTCTGACAGGATCAGGGTAAACTTCTCCAAAAACAGCACGAAGCCCATGTATTGCTTTGGCCACATGTAATGGTACTTCCTTTGAATAAACTTTATGATTTTTCTGAATAAAATCATTTGAAATGATTTCAACTTTCGCAAGTTCATCAATGGCGACAGGTTTCTAAAAAATCCAGGTTAAATTATATAACAACGCATTGTAACGCTTAAAGATACATCACGTTTGTTACCTTTAACGAAAAATCGAATCTTAGTTTTTCGGGAGCCACCAAAGAACCTTTCTGATCAACTTGATCACCTAAAATATTTCGAAGAGCATAATTAAGAATATGAGTCGCAGTATGGTTATTTCGAAGAGGCCATCGTCGAAACTATCGAATCGAAAAAATTGAGAAATTTTAAATCGCAATTGAAAAAACATTATCTCTTAAATACTTACTTCGTTATATGATGCAACTATTTCATTTCCGACCGACAAATTGCCATACTTTAAATAACCAATATGTAAAACATAGCCGCCAAACACTTGAACGTTTTCTACTACAAATTCAGCTTGACCGTCAATTGTCAGTGCACCCGTATCATATTGTTGGCCGCCTGCTTCTGCATAGAAATTTGTACGATCAAGAATGATGCCAAAATTTTTTTCCGCCGGTATATTCTCAGTGGAATTTGATATCTCATGATTGTAAAATATTACTTTAATAATGGCGTTTATATTTCCAGTTTCTAAATAAAAACAAGATAATGTTTAATGGTGTAATTAAAAAAAAAGGGCTAAATAAAGATAAAGTATACAAGATACATACGGTATTTGAAATTATCATCCGTGATTGGTATTGTCTTTAATTTTTCAATTTTGGCAATATCATGCACATCCAATGCAACGACGTTTTGATCATCAACACCAACGTTACGAGCCTTTCGACTTATGACTTTAGCTTTTTCTTGTTCTTTCAAAAATTCTTGTTCATCAACACCAAGCCCATTTTCCTCGGCCATTAGACGAGTAAGATCAACCGGAAAACCATATGTATCATACAGACGCCAAACATCAGCACCAGGTAATAATTTTGCATTGGATTGTTTGGCTTTTTGAAGATAACCATCAAAAAGTTTTTCGCCTCGATCAAGTGTACGTGAGAAACTTTCTTCTTCTTCATCCAAGATTTCTTTCACATCAGAGACCTTTCGTTTAATCTCTGGAAAAGCATCTCCCTATAAATTTTAGTAAATTAAACAATCATTGATAATTAAAAAAAAAATAAAAAGAACAATTCGCGTTACCATTTCGGTCACCACCGTATCTATCAAACTTGAGAAAAAACTTCCAATTTTAACATCAAATTTCTTGCGTGCATATCGTGCACCACGTCTTAATATCCGCCTAAGGACATAGCCACGTCCTTCGTTACTAGGCACACCCCCATCGGAAATAGCAAAAGTCAAGGTTCTCACATGGTCCGCAATAACTCGATAAGCCATATCCAACCCATCAACATCATCAACACCCACTTTGCCACTATATGGGCGCGCCCCTGTTAATTGTTGAATCTTTAGAAAAATCGGCTGGAAAATGTCTGTATCATAATTTGAAAGTTTGTCTTGTAAAGCAGAGACAAGACGTTCCAATCCCATTCCAGTATCAATATGCTTGTTGGGCAGTGGACGTAAAGAAGAGTCTGATTCACGATTGAATTGCATAAAGACGAGATTCCATATTTCTACTACATTTGGATCATCTTGATTCACAAGAGATGATGCATCACGATTGCCAATACGATCGAAATGAATTTCAGAACATGGACCACATGGACCAGTCTCGCCCATTTCTAACAAAAGATCAAAAGAATTAATTTTACTCTACTTATTTTTTGAAGATCATGAGAAGCACTCACCCCAAAAATTGTCTTTTGTATTGCCAGGAATTAAACGATTTTCTTGTACTCCAACATCTATCCAAAGTTGTTTAGCCTCTAAATCAGCCTCCAAGCCCAACTTTGCATCTCCCTCGAAATATGTCACATATAAACGATCTTTGGGTAATCCATACACTTTCGTGAGAATTTCCCAAGCCATTTCTATTGCTTCTTTCTAATGAATGTCGCAGTTTCATTTTATTAATAGAACAATTCATTTATTTAAACTTTCTATTTTTCTCAAACCTTAAAATAATCACCAAACGACCAATTTCCTAACATCTCAAAGAATGTATGGTGATAAACGTCTTTACCGACATCATCCAAGTCATTATGCTTACCACCTAAATTAAAAATCATGAAAATTTATTATGATCAGTGTTACGAGTATTTTCATGTTTAACTGACTATATGTTTGAGGTGAGCAATAAAATTCAGCTTACCAGCACGTATACATTTTTGACTGTTGGCAGCACGTCTTAATTTACCAAATTCAGAGTTTGGGTCCACCGTTCCTAAAAATATAGATTTGAACTGATTCATGCCCGCATTTGCGAATAATAACGTAGGGTCTTCAAAGGGTATAGTCGACGAAGAAGGTATGTGTTTATGGCTCTTCGACTCAAAGTATGAGATAAAAGTTGAGCGTACTTTGGATGCGGGCCAATTCGTAGTTGTTACTTGCGACATTTTCCTAGAGAAAATACGGTTGGTAGAACGAGGAGAGAAAGTTTTAGATAGGTAACGCGAAATCAAGACTTTACGCAAAAACATTTTTGATCTATTTGATGTAGCGTTAGTCATCCTCTCTCAAAAATGATTGGCTACTATTATGATCCATAGCATTTTCGCGTTTTTATATATCGACATACTTTTAAAGTTCAACATATATTTGAATAATGTTCATGGCAACAGATCCATCTTCCTCTTTTACAGTTCCAAAGCGTAAAATATTAACCAAAGAAGATTTACAGAGATTTCAAGAGTCACCCGCGTTTCATGAGTATCTTGCCTTCATTGAAAGATTAAATGAGTCGATCAAAGGCCTAAAATTGAGTACAGATTGTGTTTTGTCTCAGGTGAGAGAATGAATTTACCTTGACTCGATTTAAAAAGTTTCATAATAAAAGTTTTTTCTTATTAACATGCATTTTCTTTGATCGTAAATTATTTTTATTATATTGAATGTTTAAAGGTAGTGCAAAATATAATTGATGTGCTCGATATAGTGAATTCATATTGTGAAGAGATACCACCCGTACGAAACGAAAAAAGTAGATTTGGAAACCCTGCTTTCAGGGATTTCTATGATCGAGTGAATAACGTAAATGTCTATATGCTCTATAGAGGTAATATTCGCGAGTATTTGCTAAACACTAAATCTTTTCATTGTTAGACCGCTGCAGAACTTCATGAAAATTTATCAATACCACCGGCCGCTATACCAGAAATATCTCGATATTTTGTTGAATGCTGGGGGAACCGAAAAAGAATTGATTATGGAACGGGACATGAAGCGAATTTCATTGCATGGCTGTAAGTGGATACTATCGATCAGAATATGACTGCATCAATCCAATTTGTTGACTCATGATTTTTCATATTTAGATTATGTCTAGAAAAGTTAGGATTTATTGGTCTGGATGATTATCGGTCTATTGTGCTTCGAGTTTTTCACAAGTATTTTTATTTATATATATTTTAACGTCAATACATTATGCGATTACTCTAATTAATTAATTGATTAAATTAAGGTACATAGAAGTAATGCGGAATTTACAGTTTCAATATTGGCTTGAGCCCGCAGGATCTCATGGCGTGTGGGGATTAGATGATTATCACTTTCTTCCCTTTTTATTTGGCTCTTCTCAATTGATAGGTGAGAAACTGTTAAAATCTTTTTACTTCTTATTCTCCTTATTTATATTAAAAATGGGGATGTATATTAATAAAGGTCATAAGTATATTCGTCCAAAATCAATTCATGATAAAGACGTGGTTGAAGAATATTCGAAAGAATATATGTATTTAGCTTGTATTAAGTTCATAAATTCGGTATGTACTCATTGAAGCTTTCTTTTAGTTATTTTGTATCAAACGAATGTTTTGTTATTGTATTTCTGTTCATACAGGTAAAGACAGCCTCACTGCAATGGAATTCACCAATGATCAATGACATTTCTGGCGTTAAGGTGAATATTGTTTATATTATTTCAACCAATTCATTAAGCTGATGCGAATAATTAAATATGTATGCTATTCTTTAATATAGACATGGAATAAGATAAATGAAGGCATGATTAAAATGTATAAGGCAGAAGTACTTGGCAAGTTACCTATCATGCAACATTTCATGTTTGGATCACTGATTGGTTTTGAAGGCAGCCTGGTGAATGATAATGATGAAAATGAAGATGAACATGATCATGTGCACGTACACGCCTTTGGGCAAGAGTTTCCGGATTGCTGCGGGATTAAAGTACCAAGTGCGATCGGTGCTAGTCAAATATCTTCAAGAGAAACATCTGCAAAAAGATTACCATTTGATTAATTGGACAATTTTTTATTGAACATTTGATATCTTGGTCGATCTCATGCATATTCGGCTCAATTAGAATATGTGTTGCTATCATGTATGAAATAAATGGTGAATCGTTGCCCCATGATTCACTAAGAATAATAATGTAGTATTACGTATTAATTAATAACTTTACTAATTACGCAACTAAGAAAGTATAAATATGACCGTCGACTACTTGACACAATAGTAAAAAAATGATCGTAAAATTACTAAAGCATTTCCTAGAGTCAATATTATATCCATCTGAACTTTTAGCTCTAATTAAATTTTATTTCATCCAAACGAAAGAAATAAGCAACCATGATAACAATAATAAGGAAAGATGTAGATATCTATTAAACAAATATTCGAGATCATTTGCTACCATTATAAACAATTATTCTGGTGATTTATATGAACCAGTTAGTATTCAAGAAATAAGAAAGAATTAAAAGGGTTTATCATCATTTCATTTATTAGTTTGCCCGTTTTTAGATTTGTCTGTTTTATCTTGTTCTGCGTGGTCTTGATACTATTGAAGATGACATGACCTTACCAATTGATATGAAAATAGACTTACTATTGAGATTTCATAAAATTATTTATGAACGAGGATGGAATTTCACTTCAAGTAATCTAAAAAATGCATCATGTTTATTTAATGCCCAGCAATTTGTAATTGACGTTATTTAATTGTAGGTGGCCCAAATGAGAAAGACCGGCAATTATTGGTAGAATTTAACGTTGTAATAGAAGAATTTTTGAATCTTGAAGAAAAGTAAATAAGACACCATTTGATTTCGAGCGCTTGGGAATACTTTATTTACCATATTTCAAACACTTAGATATCAAATTATTATCGAACACATAACGCAACAAATGGGACAAGGGATGGCAACTTATGCCAAACAAGCAGCTGAAAATAATTTGGTCATAGACACTGTAGTAGATTATGAATTATATTCGCATTATGTTGCTGGATTAGTCGGTGTTGGTCTTGCTGATATTTTTATCGCCAGAGGATTGTTAGATTCAAAAATAATAGGAAACATTAACAAGTAAATGCTCCTTTTTTTGATTTTTACGCCCGTGTGAATTACAGCTAATCTTCTAATTTTAGTCAAGAAACTATTGGAATTATTGGAATATTTCTTCAAAAAGAAAATATAATTCGAGATTATTCAATCGATTTACGAGAAAATCGGAAATACTGGCCAAAAGAAATTTGGTCGCGTTACGTGAATGATCTCCGAGATTTATCGAAACCCGAAAACCGTACTCGTGCGATCTATTGTCTATCGGATATGATCTATGACGCGATTCGTCGTGTACCCGAAATCTTGGCATATTATGAAAAACTTGATAATAAAAGGGTTTTTATCATGTGTTCTATTCCCATTGCTGCTACCATAGCGAATTTAGCTCTACTCTTCAAGAATTATTATGTCTTTTACCAGGTTATTGAGATCAGAAAGGGATTGGCTGTTAAGGTGAAGATTTGTCAACAAGAATAACAATAGACTAATGATAATTGTTAATAGTTTTTTTTCTCATTTTAGTTATTGCTCAAAAGTACCAATATAAAAGATATCGCAGAGATATATTTGAAGTATACAAATGAGATTCTAGATAAAAACAAGGATGAACTCGATCCAAATTTCACAAAAATCAATAATGTCTGCATTGAGGTGAGAAATTTTGTTTCTTTTTGTCATTTTATCGGTTGCTATGAAACAGACTTTTAATTTTAATATGCGCATTTTTCTTGTAGATTAAAGAATGGTGTCAAAAGACAATTGATAATTGAGTGATGCATCAATTTTGCATTATTAATTTTTTTTACAGGTTGCATTACCAAATTGAAAATTTTATTATTTCCATGTCAGTTTTTATTTGTCTGATGCCAATGATTTTTTGCTAGAGTTTGCGTTGTAACCAATCACATGCCTTGCACTGAATTATCATTAAACCTGAGAGACTATATTATACCAACTTTAGGCAATATTATACACGGAATTAAAAAGTCTAAGCATAATGTGTAACAATGTACATTCACTTTGAAAATTTAGAATATATTTACATTTATTAATTGTCTTTTTTCACCAATCAATTGTAATGGTTTATCTATGTTTCTACTTCTGTAAGTTTTTTATTCCCATAATTAGAAATAATTGGTAACGAGGTTATATTGCTACATAAGGAGGATTCAACTTTTTTGGACACTCATTAAATTAAAAATAAATGTAGTGAGAACTGTAAGGCGAAAATTTCAAAAAAAGCAATCAATATCGCCCAACTTAGTTCCACGAACTATCTATGTTCAACAACACCAGTAATTTGGACAATCAAAATACCAAAATAATGCCACTTTATGTTGAACAAATGGTGACGAGTATCTTTTAGATTGATTTCTGGTGCGAATTTATTGACCAATTGGCGGTGTATTAGAATTGATCGAATTGTGGGATGTTTACAAGTTTCAAATTTCAAGCTCAATTTTATTTTATTGTATTGCAATAAATCCTTCAGGACGACCACCACTTTTTTCGGGCCACATGATGATTTTTTAACCAATCAAATCGCAAGATCAATGTGTAACGAAAAAATTCAAGTGGAATATAACTCTCTTTATTAATATTTATATCATTGATCGGTTTACTCCCTTAAAAATCGTCACGTGGCCCGAAAAGTAGATATTTATTTTTATATATTCACTGTGTTATAACAAAAAATTCTCTTACAGATTAATAGCTTTTCTAATTTTTGATTGATTAATTTATTTCTTATATATAAAGTTCTATAATAAATTGAAGTTTTTAATATAGTATTAGATATCTTATATTATTTTTTATTATATAATTAATTCTTGAAAAGAATTTAAACTTAATATATTTGTTTAACTAACTCTTTTTTACTTATTATTAATATAATATTCTTAAATATATTAAATTTTTTTATTAAATCAAATTTAATAAAAAAAAATTTTTAATTATTATTTATAATATTAAATTTAAATTAAAATTAAAAAAAATTTAATAATTTTTATAATTTTAAAAAAATTTGAAAGTTTTATTTATAATATTGAATAATTTTTTATAAACTTTAAATATATTATTATTTCAAAAGTTTAAGATCATCCTGACAAATTAATAAAAATTATAATTTTTTATTAATTAATATTATTATAAAATTTTATATATTTTTTATTAAATAAATATATTTAAATAATTTATAATAATTTTTATAATTATAAAATCAAAAAGTTAATTTTATTAATATAATATAATAAAAATTAAAATTTTTTCTTTATATTAAACTTTATAATTTTATTAAGAAATAATTTTTATTTTTATATTAAAATAAATTTTATAAATTATAATTTAATATATAATTTTTTCAGATTTTTTAAATTTTTTCTTAATTAAATTTAGAAAAAAATTTTACAATAAC